CCAGAACTTCCAATAATGTGTTGAATAGGGGTGGTGAGATAGGGCATCCTTCTCTTGTGCTGGTTTTCAAAGGGAATGCTTCCAGTTTTTGCTCATCCAGTATGATATTGGCTGTGGGTTTGTCATAAATAGCTCTTATTACTTTGAGATACGTTCTATTGATACCTAGTTTACTGAGAGTTTTTAGCATAAAGGGCTGTTGAATTTTGTCAAAGGCCTTGTCTGCATCTATTGAGATAATCATGTGGTTTTTGTCTTTGGTTCTGTTTATGTGATGGATTATGTTTATTGATTTGCTTATGTTGAACCAGCCTTGCATCCCAGGGATGAAGCTGACTTGATCATGATGGTAAGCTTTTTTGATGTGCTATTGGATTTGGTTTGCCAGTATTTTATTGAGGATTTTTGCATCAATGTTCATTATGGTGATTGGCCTGAAATGTTCTTTTTCAGTTGTGTCTCTGCCAGGTGTCGGTATCAGGATGATACTGGTCTCATAAAATGAGTTAGGGAGGATTCCCTCTTTTTGGATTGTTTGGAATAGTTTCAGAAGGAATGGTGCCAGCTCCTCTTTGTATGTCTGGTAGAATTTTGCTGTGAAGCCATCTGGACCTGGACTTTTTTTTGGTTGGTATGCTATTAATTGCTGCCTCAATTTCAGACCTTGTCATTGGTCTATTCGGGGATTCAGCTTCTTCCTGGTTTAGTCTTGGGAGGGTGTAGGTGTCCAGGAATTCATTCATTTCTTCTAGATTTACTGGTTTACGTGCATAGAGTCATTTGTAGTAATCTCCGATGGTAGTTTGTATTTCTGTGGAATCAGTGGTGATAGCCCCTTTATCATTTTTTGGTGCATCTATTCGATTCTTCTCACTTTTCTTTTAAATTAGTCTGGCTAGCAGTCTAACTATTTTGTTGATCTTTTCAAAAAACCAGCTTCTGGATATATTGATTCGTTTTAAGTTTTTTTGTGTCTCTATCTACTTAAGTTCTGCTCTGATCTTAGTTATTTCTTGTTTTCTGCTAGCTTTTGAATTTGTTTGTTCTTGCTCCTCTAGTTTTTTTAATTGTGATGGTGGGGCGTCGATTTTAGATCTTTCCTCACTTCTCATGTGGGCATTTAGTGCTATATGTTTCTCTCTAGACATTGCTTTAAGTGTGTCTCAGAGATTCTGGTACGTTGTGTCTTCGTTGTCATTGGTTTTGAAGAACATCTTTATTTCTGCCTTAATTTCAGTATTTATCCAGTAGTCATTCAGGAGCAGATTGTTCAGTTTCCATGTAGTTTGTGCAGTTTTGAGTGAGTTTCTTAATCCTGAGTTCTAATTTTATTGCACTGTGATCTGAGAGACTGTTATGATCTCCATTCTTTTGGATTTGCTAAAGAGCGTTTTACTTCCAATTCTATGGTAAATTTTAGAATAAGTGCAATATGGCGCTGAGAAGAATGTATATTCTGTGGATTTGAGGTGGAGAGTTCTGTAGATGTCTATTAGGTCTGCTTGGTCCAGATCTGAGTTCAAGTCCTGGATATCCTTGTTAATTTTCTGTTTCATTGATCTGTCTGATATTGACAGTGGGGTGTTAAAGTCTCCTACTACTAGTGTGTGGGAGTCTAAGTCTCTTTGTAGGTCATTGAGAACTTGCTTTATGTATACAAGTGCTCCTATATTGGGCGCATTTATATTTAGGATAGTTAACTCTTCTTGTTGCATTGATCCCTTTATTATTACATAATGCCCTTCTTTGTCTTTTTTGATCTTTGTTGGTTTAAAGTCTGTTTTATCAGAGCATTGCAACCCCTTTTTTTTCCTTCTCCATTTGCTTGGTAAATCTTCCGCCATCCCTTTATTTTGAGCCTATTTATGTCTTTGCACATGAGATGGGTCTCCTGAATACAGCACACCAATGGGTCTTGACTCTATCCAATTGGCCAGTCAGTGTCTTTTGGTTGGGGCATTTAGCCCATACACATTTAAGGTTAATATTGTTATGTGTCAGTTTGATACTGCCATTTTGATACTAGCTGGTTGTTTTACCCATTAGTTGATGCAGTTTCTTCATAATGTCTGTGGTCTTTACAGTTTGGTATGCTTTTGCAGTGGCTGGCACTGGTTGCTCCTTTCTGGTAAGGCAGGCCTGGTGGTGATGAAATCTCTCAGCATTTGCTTGTTCATAGAGGATTTTATTTCTCCTTTGCTTATGGAGCTTAGTTTGGCTGAATAGGAAATTCTGGGTTAAAGATTCTTCTTTAAGGATGTTGAATACTGGCCCTCACTCTCTTCTGGCTTTGTAGGGTTTCTGCTGAGAGATCCACTGTGAATCCGATGGGCTTCCCTTTTTCTGTAACCCAACCTTTCTCTTTGGCTGCCCTTAGCAAATTTCCCTTCATTTCAACCCTGGTCAATCTGACGATTATATGCCTTGACGTAGCTGTTCTTGAGGAATATCCTTGTGGTGTTCTCTATATTTCCTGAGTTTGAATGTTAGCCTGCCTTGCTACATTGGGGAAGTTCTTCTGGATAATATCCTGAAGAGTATTTTCCAAATTTGTCTCATTCTTCCCATGACTTTTAGGCAAACCGATCACACATAGATTTGATCTTTTCACATAATCCTATATTTCTTGCAGGCTTTGTTAATTTCTTTTTACTCTCTTTTTTCTAATCTTGCCTTCTTGCTTTATTTCATTGAGTTTATCTTCAATCTCTGATATCCTTTTTTCTGCTTGATCGATTTGGCTATTGAAACTTGTGTATGCTTCGTGAAGTTCTCGTGCTGTGTTTTTCAGCTTCATCAAGTTGTGTATGTTCTTCTCTACACTGGTTATTCTAGTTAGCATTTTGTCTAACCTTTTTTAAGGTTCTTAGCTTCCTTTCAGTGGGTTAGAACATCCTCTTTTAGCTTGGAGAAGTTTGTTATTACCTACCTTCTGAATCCTGCTTCTGTCAGCTTGTCAAACTCATTCTCCATTCAGTTTTGTTCCCTTGCTGGTGAGGAATTGTGATCCCTTGGAGAAGAAGAGTTGTTCTGGTTTTTGGAGATTTCAACCTTTTTGTACTGGTTTCTTCCTATCTTCATGGATTTATCTACCTTTGGTCTTTGAAGTTGGTGACCTTTGGATGGAGTCTCTGAGTGGACATCCATTCTGTTGATATTGAAACTATTTCTTTCTGTTTGTTAGTTTTTCTTCTAACATTCAGGCCCCTCTGCTGCAGGTTTGCTGGAGTTTGCTAGAGGTTCACTCTAGACCTTGCTTGCCTGGGAATCACCAGCAGGGGCTTCGGAACAGCAAAGTTTGCTGCCTATTCCTTCTTCTGGTAGCTTCGTCCCAGAAGTGTACCCGTCAGATGCCAACCAGAGCTCTCCTGTATGAGGTGTCTGTCAGCCCCTGCTGGGAAGTGTCTCCCAGTCAGGTGGTCACTTGAGGAAGCAGTCTGTCCCTTATGAGAGCATGTAAACTGTGCTGGGAGATCCGTTGCTCCCTTCAGAACTGCCAGGCAGGGATATTTAAGTCTGCTGAAGCTGTACCCACAACCGCCCCTTTTCCCAGGTGCCCTGTCCCAGGAAGGTGGTGGCTTTATTTATAAGTCCCTGACGGGCTGTTGCCTTTTTTCAGAGATGCCCTGCCCAGCAAGAAGGGCGTCTAGTGACAGTCTGCCTTCAGAGGCCTTGCTGAGCTGCTTTGGGCTCTGCCTAGTTGCTGTGTAAACTTCCTGACAACTTTGTTTACACAGGTGAGGTTAAAACTGCCTACTGGAGCCTAGACAATGGCAAACACCCCTTCCCCCATGGAGCTTAAACATCCTAGGTCAAGCTCAGACTGCTGTGCTGGCTCTGAGAATTTCAAGCCAGTAGATCTTAGCTTGCTGGTCTTCATGGGTGTGGGACTTGCTGAACCAGATCACTTGGCTTTCTGGCTTCAACCTCCTTTTTCAGGGGAATGAGTGGTTCTGTCTCGCTGGCATTCCAGGTGCCACTGGGGTATGAGAAAAAAAAAACTGCGGCTAAAATGGCCACCCAGTTTTGTGCTGGAAACCCGGGGTGCTGGTGTTGTAGGCAATGGAGGGAATCTCCTGGTCTGCAGGTTGTGAAGACAGTGGGAAAAGAACCATATCTGAGCCAGAGTGTCAGGAAAAGTCCCTAATGGCTTCCCTTGGCTAGGAGAGGGAGTTCTCCGGCCCTTGTCCTTCCCAGGTGAGGCAACACTCCACCCTGCTTCGGCTCACCCTCCTTGGGCTGCACCCACTGTCTAACCTCAGTTGGAAATGTGGAGATCACACGCCTTCTGCATCACTCTCACTGGGAATTGGACACCAGAGCTGTTCCTGTTTGGCCATCATGGCAGAAATCTGTTCAAGATATTTAAATCACTAAAAAAAAAACTTGGTAGAGAAGCCAGGTTTTATGTGCTTGTACAATTTAAGCAGTATCTGAAGAATTTCAGTACTCTGAAAACATGAATAAAAATAGCAATAAATACTAACAATATTGAAAGTATGTATGATATGATGAAAGAGAACTAAAGCATACTACTAGGACAGTTATTTCAATGATTAAACTAGAGAACGAATCGTTTTGGCAAAGTTGATTTTAAGGTGATGACATGTATTTTCTTTGACCATCCTTATCAGATATTACTTTCCTAGAAGCAAGCCTGCTGTCCTTCATTCACAGTCGCCATCTTCCTCCTCAAGTCAGCTAGTGCCTTAACATACGGCCCAGCCTCAGATCCTGTCTTTAGCAACCAATGAATAGATATTTACTCAGAGCTACCACAATAGAGTATTTCAAATGGAATCAGGATCTGTTGGGCCTCGGAAATTGTCTCTTTTCTGAGTTTCAGTTTGGTTCTCCTGGATGTGTTACTCTGACTTGGTACCTGTAATACAGGGAAAGACAACTTTTTTGGGAAAGCCCTTTGACCCCAGCTTGCTATTTGTATAATAATAAATTTTCTATTCCTAATAGTTTTATTGCTTTCTTTCCCCTGTATCTAGTTTTCTTCTCCTCTACCAGACTGATTACTTTACGGAGGGAAAGGCTGGATGGATTTAGGAGACATGAAAGGTCATAGAACAGGGTGGCTCTGGAAGAAGGAAGCACCTTCAGCCAGCTCTTGCCTTCAAAAACAATGGCCCCGGGAAGAGAGACTGAGAAGTGAGCTTCTTTCTCCAGACAAGTAGTGTACCTCCTCACCTTTTTGCACCGCACAACATCAAGATCTGGAAGAAAATACATTGATCTGGAGCTTGTCAAATGTGACTTCAGAAAAACCACAGGATCTTTTTTCTCCTAGCTACCAAATCCAGTTCAGCTTCAAGGAATAAGGGAATTGTGAAAAGGGTACAAGCCCATCACAGAGTGACTGGTGATATTGGGGAGGGCAGGAGACTGAGAGCCACCAGAGAAGGAGTCATAGAGGGAAGACTATAAGTCGTGGCTTTTCACACTTGCGTGTGTCTCAGTCGTGGCTGAGTATCCTCACCCAGCCTAATTTCTGCTACTTTGAGGCCATCAACACCTAGAGTGCTATGGAGGCCTCATGAAAAGCTTCAGTCCTGGGCTTTGATGTGGAGAACCCTGGCTGTTGGGCTCAGAGCCGGGACCATGGTCTTCTAAGGAAGATGGTACCTGTGTTTACTGTTCTGACTCTTCTCACACATTCAGCCTTGGATAATACAGCATCATGCTGTAGACCTATTTGATCAAAAACTCAGGATTCCTTGCTTTTTTTTTCTCCCAAAACTTGCATCAATTTTAACTGCCTCCTATCTGCTACTCTTCCCACCACCCTTAACATGTAGGTTGTTACAGTAACTTACTGAATTATATCTTAAGTCTTGCCTACAACTGGAAGCAGAATTGGAACTCCACAAAGTGAAACCTAACCTAACGCACAGGTGAGTTGCTGTGCCTTTCGGAAGCAGTCTGAGTGCAAATAGGTGGAGTGTTAGCACATGCCAAGAAAACTTGACTGGGCCCCATGCAAAAGCTGTAGATCCTCTTGGAAAGCCGTGCTTATTTCTGAGGGCAGAGTGCATGGGGCTAGCTGGGGATGTTTCTGAATGTCTGAGAGAAGCATCACAGCAGGGAACTCGCTTCCAAAGGGAATGTGGCTGACCTTTCAGGGGCACAGTTGCCTTTTGTGGGGAAAAAGTCTTCTTTTTTTCCCCCTATACTGTCTGCCATGCTTCAGTCATGTGGAATTTTTCTCTGGATGGAGTCCCTGACCCATGAACCTTGGTCTTCTAGAAAGCTAGGCATAAACAATACAGAGGAAGATCAGAAATGTCATGTAGCACATTCTCCCTTAAATTTGGGGTCACTTCTCAGTGGCAGTGTCCAGATTTGCTTGCCCACCTCTCTTAACTCTTCAGAGTCAAAAACACTGTCCTACTATGTTTCCAGAGATCTGCCTTATCTTTTGTAATCCCTTCAACTCTTTTTATCAAACAGGTATCCCTCTCTGGGAAGGTATAATGAGAGAGGCTGTCTATTCTATTTATCCCAAGGGTTTGTTCTCTTTCTTCCACACCATATCTTTGATGCCATCTCCTCCTTCCCTCTGAGGATGAAACCAAGAGGAAAATAGCAGATTTTATTCACTGATGAGCTTTTGTAGACTAAACATCAGCTTCTGTGCATCGTAACCATCAGAAGGACAACCGGCTTATTGAGACAGGAACTTAAGTCTATTGAAATTTTTTTGTAAGTATAGGCTTATATTTTCTTGACTGTTAATAAATTTTCCTTTATCTTATAACAAGCCTACAACTTCTTTTATTTTTTTGCCCCATAAAAACTGTATTCTATTAAGTTAATTAACCTTTTAAAATACAGCTTGAATCAGCCATTTTTGAGCCTTAAACTGTTTTTCTAGGTCTGTGTCTTCTGTGTTTTCCCATCTACTAACTGAAGTACAGTTGCTGCTCAGTATTCATGGTGGATTGGTTCCGGGACCTCCCATGGATACCAACATCTGGGGATGCCAAAATCCCAAATACAGAATGGCATAGTATTTGCATATAGCCTCATATCCTCCTGTATACTCTAAATTATCTCTAGATACTTACAACACCTAATAAGATGTAAATGCTATGTAAATAGTTGTCATACTGTATTGTTTAGAAAATAATGACAAGGAAAAGTCTGTACATGTTCAGTACAGATATATTTAAAAATATTTTTCATCCACAGTTGGTTTAATTCATAGACGTAGATGCCTTGGATACAGAGAGCTGACTGTGTAAACTCACTCTAGCATTATTTACCTTTCACCACAATCTGCCTTCTTGTTTCCGAAAGACATCTGCATTTTCTCACATAGGCTCATACTGGGATGTCTCCTCATGCTGGTGCCTCTTCCTTGACTGCCTTTCTCCTCGAAATTCTTTTCCTAGCATCTATGCCTTATAAAATCTAGTCTTTAAGAAGCCAGAAAAAGGCACTTTCTACATTCCCACTAAAATGTAATCTCAGTGCTACCAGTGATAGCTGGGGTTTATAGCACTTAACTTTGTTGTGCCCTTATTCTCTTCGTTAGTGCATTAACCCTCACCTAGACAGCCAGGTCTTTGAGAATCATATAAACCAATAAGCTGACACTCAAATCTTTGTTGAGTTAAAATATGAAAATAACTGCCTATCAATTTGGAGAATATAATGCACTCTAGATAGTTTAAGTATCTTAATATAAAACTTGAGAATATGGAAAGTAATGTCATTCTTGTGGTGTCAGACTAACAGTTGCCTTTTTTTTTTTTTGAGACAGTCTCACTCTGTTGCCCAGGCTGAAATGAAATAAAGAGGAATGAATTTCTTGAGACAAATGAAAATGAACACACGCTAAAACCCATGGAATATAGCAAAAGCAGTTCTTAGTGGGAAGTTTATAGCAGTAAGTGCCTACTAAGATCTCCAACAACATAATATTGTATTATACTTCAAGGAACTGGAAAAAACAAGAACAAATTAAACACAAAATTAGTAGAAGAAAAGAAATATTAAAGAACAGCAGAAATAAATGAAATAGAGACTTAAAAAATGATAAAAGATCAACAAGATGAGCTGGTTTTTTGAAAAGATAAATCTTTAGCTGGACTAAGAAAAACTTCAAATCAGAGATGAAAGAGATATTGTAACTGATTCTTCAGAAATATAAAGGACCAGGCCAGGCGCAGTGGCTCATGCCTGTAATCCCAGCACTTTGGGAGGCTGAGGCAGGCAGATTACTTGAGGACAGGAGTTTAAGACCAGCCTGGCCAACAGGCTGAAACTCCATCTCTACTGAAAATATAAAGTTAGGTGTGGTTGTAGGCACCTGTAATCCCAGCTACTTGGGAGGCTGAGGCAGAAGAATTGCTTGAACCCAGGAGGCAGAGGTTGCAGTGAGCCGAGATTGTACAACTTTATTCCAGCCTGGGCCACAGAGCAAACTCACATTTAAAAAAAAAAAAAAAAAAAGGAACTGGGTGCAGTGACTCACGCCTGTATTCCCAGCACTTTGGGAGGCTGAAGTGGATGGATCATGAGGTCAAGAGATGGAGACCATCCTGGCCAATGTGGTGAAACCCCATCTCTACAAAAAAATATGAAAACATTAGCTGGGTGTGGTGGTGCACACCTGTAGTCCCAGCTGCTCAGAAGGCCGAGGCAGGAGAATCACTTGCACCAGGGAGGTGGAGGTGGCAGTGAGCCGAGATTGAGCCACTGCACTCCAGCCTGGCCACAGAGTGATATTCTGTCTCTTAAAAAAAAAAAAAAAAAAAAAGGATCATAAGAAACTTAAGAATAATTATATGCCAATAAGTCAGATAACCTAGAAGAAATGGGTAAATTTCTGGGCATGTTATAAATAATTATAGAATTCAAGAATTGTAAAGAAAAAATCTGAACAGAGGCCAGGTGTAGTGGTACACAGCTGTACCCTGAGCATTTTGGGAGGCTGAAGTGGGTGGATCACTTGAGCCTAGAAGTGAGAGACCAGCCTGGACAACACAGTGAGACCCTGTTTCTACTAAAAACAAAATGAAAAAATATTGGATGTGGTGGTCCACACTTGTGGTGCCAGCGACTCAGGAGGAGTAGGAGACTGAGGGAGTACTGCTTGAGTCCAGGAGTTGGAGGCTGCAGCGTTAAAAAACAAGGACATTAAAACAGTAATAAAAAACCTATCACCGGGTGCGGTGGCTCACACCTGTAATCCCAGCACTTTGGGAGGCCGAGGCGGATGGATCACAAGGTCAAGAGATTGAGATCATCCTGGTCAACGTGGTGAAACCCCGTCTCTATTTAAAATACAAAAAATTAGCTGGGCATGGTGGTGCGTGCCTGTAATCCCAGCTACTCAGGAGGCTGAGGCAGGAGAATTGCCTGAACCCAGGAGGCGGAGGTTGCGGTGAACTGAGATCGCGCCATTGCACTCCAGCCTGGGTAATAAGAGCGAAACTCCACCTCAAAAAAAAAAAAAAAAAACCTTCTGGGAAAGAAAAGCCCAGGAACAGATGACTTCAGTCGTAAATTCTACCAAACCTTTAAAGAATTAGTACCTACTGGGTATACCCAAAGAATTATAAATAGTTCTACTATAAAGACACATGCACATGTATGTTCATTGCAGCCCTGTGTACAATAGCAAAGACCTGGAACCAACCCAAATGCCCATCAATGATAGACTGGACAAAGAAAATGTGGGACATATACACCATGGATACTAGGCAGCCATAAAAATTGATAGGTTTGTGTCCTTTGTAGGGACTTGGATAAATCTGGAAACCATCATTCTCAGCAAACTGACACAAGAACAGAAAGCCAAACACCGTATGTTCTCACTCATATGTAGGTGTTGAACAAGAACACGTGGACTCAGGGAGAGGAGCATCACACACTAGGGACAGTTGGGGGGGGGTGTAAGGGAGACAGTGGGCGGTGGGGAGGGAGGGGAGGGATCATGGGGAGAAACGCCAGATATAGTATGCACCTAAAGTAAAATAAAAATAGAATTAATACCAAAAAATTAAGAAGATGGAATACTTGGAAACTTATTCTACAATGTCATCATTATCCCAATACCCAAAGCCAAACAACAAAACCAAACAAGGACATAAGAGAAAAAGAAAACTACAGGCCAGCGTCCCTGTCGAACATAGATGTAAATGTCTTCAACAACAACAAAATTCAGCAAACCAAATTTAACAACACATGAAAATGGTCACCCATCGTGATCAAGTGCAATTTATCCCGGGAATTTGAGAGTGGTTCAATATACAGAAATCAATAAACAATACAGAATGTTAACAGAGGGAGAGACAAAAACCTTATAATCATTTCAGTTGATGGAGAAAAAGCATTTGACAAAATTCAGAATTCCTTTATGAGAAAAGCCCTAAAACTATTGAAGGATTGTACCTCAACACAATAAAGACCATATATGACAAACTTATAGCTAACATACCGAATGGGGACAGGTTGAAAGCCTTCATGCAAAGATTTGGAACAAGACAAGGATGCTCACTTTTGCCACTTCTCCCCGCCCTTCCCGAATGCTTTTAATAATCACATTTAATTACTTTCTTAAAGCTATAATAGAAATTTAAAAATAATAAAATAGTTTGAAGTAACCATAGCTTTCTTTATATTCCTGTAATTCTTTGTCTTCTGTGTGTGTGTGTGTGTGTGTGTGTGTGTGTGTATAATTGCACTTTAGGTTCTGGGGTACATGTGCAGAATATACAGGATTGTTGCATAGGTACGTACATGGCAATGTGGTTGGTTGCCTCCCCCCCATCACCTATATCTGGCATTTCTTCCTATGTTATCCCTCCCCAACCTCCCTACCCCCCGCTGTCCTCCCATAGTCCCCTGCAACAGACCCCAGTGTGTGATACTTCCCTACCTGTGTCCATGTGTTCTCATTGTTCAACACCTGCCTATGAGTGAGAACATGCAGTGTTTGATTTTCTGTTCTTGTGTCAGTTTGCGGAGAATGATGGTTTCCAGGTTATCCAAGTCCCTACAAAGGACACGAATTCAACTTTTTTTAAAAAAATGTACATATTTGACTGCACTTGAAGTCCTGGGGTACATGTGAAGAACATGCAGGATTGTTGTATAGGTACATACATGGCAATGTGGTTTGGGGTACATGTGAAGAACGTGCAGGATTGTTGTATAGGTACATACATGGCAATGTGGTTTGCTGCCTCTCCCCCCATCACCTATATCTGGCATTTCTCCCCAGGTTATCCCTCTTCAACTCCCTACCCCCCACTCTCTCCCCTAGTCCCCCCCAACAGACCCCAGTTTCTCTGTGTGATGCTCCCTCCCTGTGTCCATGTGTTCTCCTTGTTCAACACCCATCTATGAGTGAGAACATGTGGTGTTTGATTTTCTGTTCTTGTGTCAGTTTGCTGAGAATGATGGTTTCCAAGTTTATCCATGTCCCTAAAAAGGACATGAACTCATCGTTTTTATGGCTGCATAATAATCCATTATATATATGTGCCACATTATCCCTGTCCAATCTATCATTGATGGGCATTTGGGTTGGTTCCACATCTTTGCTATTGTAAACAGTGCTGCAGTGAGCATTCATGTGCATGTGTTCTTATAATAGAACGATTTATAATCCTTTGGATATACACCCAGTAATGGGATTGCTGGGTCAAATGGAATTTCTATTTCTAGGTCCTTGAGGAATCGCCACACTGTCTTCCACAATGGTTGAACTAATTTACACTCCCACCAACAGTGTAAAAGTGTTCCCATTTCTCCACATCGTCTCCAGCATCTGTTGTCTCCAGAATTTTTAATGATCGCCATTCTAACTGATGTGAGATGGTATCTCAATGTGGTTTTGATTTGCATTTCTCTGATGACCAGTGATAATGAGCATGTTTTCATAAGTTTGTTGGCCTCATATATGTCTTCTGAAAAGTGTTCATATCCTTCACCCACTTAGGAATGGGTTTATTTGTTATTTTTTCTTGTAAATGTGTTTTAGTTCTTTGTAGATTCTGGATATTAGCCCTTTGTCAGATTACCAAAATTTTTTCCCATTCTGTTGGTTGCCAGTTCACTCTAATGATTGTTTCTTTTACTGTACAGAAGCTCTGGAGTTTAATTAGATCTCATTTGTCTATTTTGGCTTTTGCTGCCAATGCTTTTGGTTTTTAGTCATGAAGTCCTTGCCTATGCCTATGTCCTGAATGGTTTTGCCTAGGTTTTCTTCCAGGGTTTTTACAGTGTTAGGTCTTACATGTAAGTCTTTAATCCATCTGGAGTTAATTTTAGTGTAAGGTGTCAGGAAGGGGTCCAGTTTTTGCTTTTTGCACATGGCTAGCCAGTTTTCCCAATACCATTTATTAAACAGGGAATCCTTTCCCCATTGCTTGTTTTTGTCAGGTTTGTCAAAGATCAGATGGTCGTAGATGTGTGGTGTTGTCTCCAAGGCCTCTGTTCTGTTCCATTGATCTATATCTCTATTTTGGTACTAGTACCATGCTGTTTTGATAACTGTAGCCTTGTGGTATAGTTTGAAGTCAGGTAGCATGATGCCTCCAGCTTTGTTCTTTTTGCTTAGAATTGTCTTGGCTATACTGGCTCTCTTTTGGTTCCGTATGAAGCTTAAGGTGGTTTTTTTTCCAGGTCTGTGAAGAGAGTTATAGATAGCTTGATGAGCAATAGCATTGAATCTATAAATGACTTTGGGCAGTATGGCCATTTTCGTGATACTGATTCTTCCTAATCATAAGCATGGAATGTTTTTCCATCTGTTTGTGTCCTCTCTTATTTCCTTGAGCAGTGGTTTGTAGTTCTCCTTGAAGAGGTCCTTTACATCCTTTGTGAGTTGTATAGCTAGGTATTTTATTCTCTTTGTAGCAATTGTGAATGGCAGTTGGTTCTTGATTTGGCTCTCTGTAAGTCTGTTATTGGTGCATAGGAATACTTGTGATTCCTGCACATTGATTTTGTATCCTGAGACTTTGCCGAAGTTGCTTATCAGTTTCAGGAGATTTTGGGATGAGACAATGGGGTCTTCTAAATATACAATGATGTCATCTGCAAATAGAGACAATTTGCCTTCCTCCTTTCCTATTTGAATACCCTTTATTTCTTTTTCTTGCCTGATTGCTCTGGCGAGAACTTCCCATACTATCTTGAATAGGAGTGGTGAGAGAGGGCATCCTTGTCTAGTGCCAGATTTCAAAGAGAATGCTTTCAGGTTTTGCCCATTCAGTATTTTGTTGGCTGTGGGTGTGTCGTAAATAGCTTTTATTTTGAGATACATTCCATCAATACCCAGTTTCTTGAGAGTTTTTAGCATAAAGTGCTGTTGAATTTTGTTGAAGGCCTTCTCAGCATCTATTGAGATAGTATGTGGTTTTTGTCTTTGGTTATGTTTATGTGGTGGATTACCTTTATAGACTTGTGAGTGTTGAACCAGCCTTGCATCCCAGGATGAAGCTTACTTGATCATGATGGATAAGCTTTTTGATGTGCTGTTACAATCAGTTTGCCAGTATTTTATTGAAGATTTTTGCCACTTCTATTCAACATTGTACTGAAAGTGCTAGCAATAGAAAGAAAAGTAATTGAAATTGGAAAGAAGTTAAATTGTCCCTGTTTGCAGATGATCTTATATAAGAAACCCTAAACTGTCCATCAAAAAACTGTTAGAGCTAATAAATTCAGTAAAGCTGCAGGATACAAAAATCAATAACATTTCTAATACAGTAACAGCAAACCAGCTTAAAAAAAATAATCCATTTGCAATAGCTACCAAACAAAACAAAACAAAACAAAACTTAGGAAGGAATTTAACCAAAGAGGTGAAAGATTACTACACTGAACACTGTAAAACACTGATGAATGAAATTAAAATACAAAAAATAGTCTGTTCATAGATTGGAAAAAATAATATTGTTATAAAATTATACTATCCAAAGCAATCTATAGATTCATCACAATCCTTATCAAAGTAAAATACAAAAAAAGCTAAATTTGTATTGAACCACAGAAGACCCCGAATAGCCAAAGAAATCTTGAGCATAAAGAATGAAGCTGGAAATATCACATTATCGGACTTCAAAATATACTACAAAGCTATAGTAACCAAACAGCATGGTACTGGCATAAGAACACACACAGATCAATGGAATAGAATAGAGAGATGAAAAATAAAGTCATGCATTTACAGTAAATGAATTCTTTACAAAGGCACCAAGAATACACAATGAGGAAAGGAAAATGTCTTCAATAAATGATGCTGAAAAACTGGATACCATGTGCAGAAAAATGAAATTAAACTCTCATCTTTTATTTTAAAAAGTTAAAATGGATTAAAGACCTGAAACTGTTAAACTCCTAGAAGAAAATGGGGAGAGCTTCATGACGCTGGTCCAGGCAATGATATGACCTTCATAGCAAAGGCAACAAAAGCCAAAATAGGCAAATGGAATTACATTACACTGAAAACCTTCTGCACAGCAAGCAGTCAACAGTGAAGACATACCCTATAAAATGGGAGAAAGTGTTTGTGAAGTATATACCTGATAAGGGAGTAATATCCAAAGTGTATAAGGAGCTGAAATAATGCAATAGAAAGAAACAAATAACTGGATTTTTAAAAATAGGCCAAAGACCTCAATAGATATTTCTCAAAGAAGGCATACAAATGGCCAACAGGTATATGAAAAAAATGTTCATCACTAATCATGAGGAAAATACATCACAAAACTACAGTGAAATATCACCTCATTCCTTTTAGAATTGCTGTTTTCCAAAAGACAAAAGGTAAGTTGACAGGGATATGAAGTAAAGGGAACCCTTACACACCATAGATAGGAATATTAATTAGTAAGGCCATTATGGAAAACAGTATGGAAGTTCCTCAAAAAATTAAAAACTGAACTACCACATGACAGCATATGATTCAGCAATCTCAATACTGGGTCTATATCCAAAGAAAATGAAATCAGTATGCTGAAGAAATCTGTTCTCGTTCATTGAAGCATTATTCACAATAGCTAAGATACGGAAGCTAAGTGTTCATCAGTAGCTACATAAAGAAAATATCTGTATACATAATGGAATACTTACTCTTCAGCCTGTAATTTGTGACAACATAGATGACCATGGAGGATGTTATTTGGCAAAATAAGCAAGACGCAGAAAAAACATCACATGATTTCCCTCATAAATGGAATCTAAGAGGTTGATCTCAGAGGTAGAGACTAGAAAGGTGGTTACCAGAGGCTTGGGTGGTTAGTGAGCTGGGGGAGTTGGGGAGATGTTGGCAATTAGTGCATATTTACAATTAGATAGAAATAAGCTCAAGGCATCTAATGTACAGCATTATCTTGCTAATGTGGTGTTGATGATGATGTATATTATTGAAAAATGTTTAGAGTGGATATTGTGTTCTCATCACAAGTATATGAGATAATGCATTTGTTAATTAGCTAGATTTAACCATTCTGCGATGTATATATACTTAAGAACATCATGTTGTACCTGATAAATACATACAATTTTATGAAGTTAAAAGGAAATGAAAAAATTATATACAGGAGGATAGCAGACATGACAACATCTGGATAATAGCATTATACAGGACAGAAGTAT